AAGGCTCTGAAGAAGCCATTATATTTCTCCCCACGGGGACGAAAATTATGATACAGTATGCATTGTTGGCCACTAAAGCTCGAAGAAACTTATTGAGCTTTTAGGACATTCAGAAAACTGGTTATCACATTGAAACTATGAGTGATACTGATGGTGAATTTTTATTGATCACCAATATCATTGATAAAAAGAAATGCATCATTGAGAGATTACCCTCACTCTCTATTGGTCTATATTATGTCAAATTAGGTGTTGTTAAAACAAACCTCACGGTAGATCAAAAGACTACCGATTTTCAAATATTGCATGATCGCCTTGGGCATCCTGACAGTATAATGATTAGGCGAATAATTGAGAATTCGCATGGCCATTTATTAAAAGGTCAAAAAATATTAAACTCAAATGAGTTAAACAGTGTTGTCTGCACTCAGGAAAAATTGATAATTAGGTCATCGCCAACTAAAGTAGGTATTGAATCACTTACATTTTTGGAAAGAATACACGGGGATATATGTGGACCAATAGACCCACTATGTGAGCCATTTAAATATTTTATGGTGCTTATTGATACATCTACTAGATGGTCAGATATTTGTTTACTATCTACTCGAAATATGATATTTGCGAGATTGCTTGCCCAAATTATTAAATTACGGGCACAATTCCCCGATAATCCCATCAAAACGATACGTTTGGATAATGTTGGTGAATTTAAATTGAATGCATTTGATGATTATTGCATGTCGATTGGAATTAATGTAGAGCACCCAGTTGCTTATGTTCATACACAAAATGGTCTGGCAGAATCACTTATTAAAAGATTGCAATTGATTTCTAGACCATTATTGATGGGGTCTATGTTGCCCGTTTCAACTTGGGGGCATGCAATCTTACATGCAGGAACACTCATAAGAATGAGACCGACAAGCTATCATAGTTATTCCCCTATGCAATTAGTATTTGGTCACGAACCAAATATATCCCATCTACGTATTTTTAGGTGTGTTGTTTATGTTCCTATTCCACCATCCCAAATGTACAAAAATGGGTCCTCAACGTAGATTAGACATTTATGTCAGATATGAATCGCCGTCAATTATAAAATATCTTGAACCTATGATGGGTGATTTATTCACTACAAGAATTGCAGATTGTCATTTTGACGAATCATATTTTCCAACACTAGGGGAGACGTAAATGAACCGAAAAGGGATATTACTTGGGAAATCTCATTGAATTTTTGTGATCCTCGTACAAAGGAGTGTGAACTAGAAGTTCAACGCATTATACATTTGCAAAATATTGCAAATCAGTTACCAGATGCATTCAATGACTCGAGCAAAGTCACTTGATCATATATTCAAGTTGCTAATGCTCCGGCTAAAATAATTGTCCATGATAGACAAATTGCAAGTGCTAATGAATCAGCAACACACTTAAAGCATGATAGACCACTCGGTTCTAAAGATAAACATCCTTGAAAGGAAAGAGGGATGAATAATGATAATCATGAAAATATCAAGAATGACATTGATAAACCTCAATATAATGAGGAAGTCAATGACCGGTCGTGCGGTCAATCAAATATTTCACATATTCTGTGATCACAATTTAATGTAATACAGGGGAATGAATCGTCTCCACAGGGATTGTGTGATTCACTCTTTCGCATTCTAATGCAGTAAATAAAATGGGGGATTTTATTTTATTATCTAATGAAGACAAAATAAAAAAACAATTAAATCAACGAAGAACTAGCTATCAATGGGATGTCTAACTCAAGGGATGATGCAGTTATGACACTTGTGTTTTATCATCAATTCAATAAAGTTAATTTTTATTAAAGTATCAATAAATTGGTTATAGTTATCAACAAGCTCTGACAACCAATTTTTTCTTACAGTATAGATAATTAATGTACGACCGTTAACTATCCTTGATTAAGCTAACAAACCTAGGTACGTCCCTAGGAAATATTGTCTAATCGCATTCTAATCTAGAAAAATCCAATTCAAAACAATTACTACCTAAGATGAGCAATTATGTTTGATTGTCTAACCCCCGGGTATGAACTATTCAACACGGTTGTCACCTATTCAAATGCGAATACAATTACGGATATGTCTAACCCCCGGGAATGAACTATTCAACCCGGTTGTCAACTATTTAAATGCGAATACAATTACGGATATCCTACCTGAATTGACTTTAGATTATCAGACAGACCAATTTAAATATAGGTACCAAAATATCCAATCAATCTAACAATCGCAAACTTTATTTTCAGAATTGACAAATATTGATAATAAAAAAGAAATTTTATAAAGAAAATCAAGAATCTTCAAAACACATGAACCAAAACATTATCATATCTCAAACCAGAAAATTATCTATTCCATAATCAAATAACAAAGAACAATAGATAAAGATAAAGTCATAGTAGGAGGGGAAATCTTCTCTGGCGATTTGCTCATGCGCGATCTATGAGTCTGTCAGTCTCCTGCTCTTGTTCGTATCTGCTTATGGCCGTTCTCCCTTTTTTTTTTCGTGTGACTCCACCTTATTTAATTTAATTTTTGCCCTAATTATTTTGTAGCTGGGCTTTCGGGCCTTTAATTAAGTTCTCATGTCAAGAAGGTGTAGTTAGTCATGACCATGACTAATTAGGTGGTGCAAATCTGAATTTTTCTTTACTTTTTCTGTCAATTATGCCAATTTTTTTTTTCTCTCCTGCACGTCAGAAATAAACAACGCGCACATAAATTAGGTAGAACCTAGTCAAAATCAATCAAATATCGCATATAATATGAACATTTAACACATGCGATTTCTAACTATTATTCAACTCTGAAATAATTGCTCAAGAAGAGCACGATCTTGAAGAACATGATGAGATTATTGAGAACTTAATCAACTATGTTATTTCAAGAAAATATTGGAACCGTAAAGAGATAATTATTGAAAATGCCTTCGCATACAGTTTAGCACTTGATATAATGGAAGAAAATGAGGATCCAGAGCCAAAATCGGTTCATGAATATCGGCAAATAAATGACTGGCCAAAATAGGAAAACGCGATTCAATCAGAGCTTGACTCATTAAATAAAATAGAGGTCTTCGGACCAATTGTCCAAACACCAGATGGTATAAAATCAGTTGGATACAAATGGGTGTTTGTACGAAAAAGAAAATGAACATAATGAAATTGTGAGATATAAAGCTCGTATTGTAACTCAGGGATTCTCACAAATATCTGGATTAGATTTTGATGAAACATATTCTCCAATTGTTGATGGAATAACATTTAGATACCTTGTAAGCCTAGCTGTGCGAGAAAAGCTCGATATGCGTCTTTTAGACGTAGTTACTGCATATCTTTATGGCTCCTTGGATATTGATATTTATATGAAAGTTCCCGAGGGATTCAATATGCCTGAAGCATACAAAATAAACCCAAGGGAATCATATTCCATCAAATTGAAAAAGTCATTGTATGGACTTAAACAATCAGGACGAATGCGGTATAATCGTCTCAGTGACTGTTTAATAAAAAAAGGTTATACTAATGATCCAATATGCTCATGCGTCTTTATAAAGAAAATGGATCAAATTTTTCATTATTGCAATATATGTTGATGATCTCAATTTAATTGGAACTCCTGAAGAGATCTAAATTGCAGTTGAATATCTAAAGAAAGAATTTGAGATTAAAGATTTTGGAAAGACAAAATATTGTCTGGGATCACAAGTGAATCGTGTCAATAAAGGAATATTTATTCATCAATCCACATATACCCAAAAGGTATTAAAGCAATTCTATAGGGATAAATTTCACTTTCTGAGTACACCAATGGTGGTCAGATCTCTTATCCCAGTAAGATCCATTTAGGTCAAGAGAAGAAAATGAAGAAATACTCTGCCCCGAGGTAATATATCTCAGCGCTATTGGTGCATTAATGTACCTTGCAAATTGTACAAAACCAGATATATTTTTTTCAGTAAATTTACTGGCCAGATTTAGCGCATCCCCTACAAAGCGCCATTGGAATGGTATCAAACACATTTTTCGTTATCTTCAAGGGACTTATGACCTTGGTTTATTTTATTCGAGTGGATCTCAAAATGAATTAATGGGTTATGCTGATTCTGCTTATCTGTCTGATCCACATAAAGCAAAATCTCAAACTAGCTATTTATTTACTTGTGGTGGAACCGCAATCTCTTGGAGATTTGCTAAACAGACAATAACAGCAACTTCTTCAAACCACGCTGAGGTTTTAGCAATTCACGAAGTTAGTCGTGAATGCGTTTGGTTGAGATCTATGACTTGCCATATTCAAAAAAATTGAGGTTTGATTACCGATGATATATTACCTCCTACAATATTGTTTGAAGATAATGCAATTTGTATAACTCAATTAAAATGAGGATATATTAAAGGCGATCGGACAAAGCACGTATCTCTTAAGTTCTTTTTCACTCATAATCTTCAGAAAAATAGTGAAATTAGTGTGCAACAAATTTGATCGTCTGAAAATTTTGCAAATTTATTTACGAAGGCGCTACCAACTGCAACATTCAACAAATTGGTGCAAGAAATTAGAATGCGTCGGATGAAAAATATTAAATAAAGTCTAAAATAGAGAGAGCGCATTAATACAAGAATGATGTACTATTTTTTCGTCACTATAATTTTTTCCCACAATTTTTTCATAATAAAATTTTAACGAAATACATTATTTGTATAAAACATCTGAGGGAGGGTGTTATATACATAATACCGACGTAATCCCTATGTGCCATGCCATAAATGTGGATGCTTTGCTATATTATGCGTAATGTTTTTTTTAGCACTTCTATAGCCACTTAATTGACTTTCAATATAAATGGTGTACAAGACTAGAATTAAATACACTAATTTCTCTCTTTTTTCTAAATCTCTAGACGCATTATAATATACAGTTACCAATATATTATATTTATTATATAACAATCTCAAATAAAGAAACTCTGTTGACTATAATAATATACAAATTCTATATACAAAATACCATTGTTTCGCTGTTGAATAAACAGCAACCAAAACTTATAATAACACAAACCAAACACGCCTACACATAGTTCAAACTAGTATATACAGCAAATTAAAGCAACATGCTTATTGGCAATATCTTTTGCAATGAAAGAATCCAACAAATTACAAACCCTAATTACATAAACAACATCATTCCTTCATCTTCTTCCTCATACAAACACGAAATTTATGTACCATCGCATCGACCACGCACACAACAACATTGTCCGACCACTCACAGTCACAGACACAAACCAAGAACCACTCAGGGAACGAAGATATCCAATAACCAAGAACAAGAAGAAGAAGAAGATTACCATGATCAGTTCAGCTCAGCTCAGTTCCATGGAGGAGACGACAACTTGTACACAAAATCTTGCGGCGTCGTCCCGTAGTGTAGGTCGAGGTTGTGGAGTTGTTCCATCAACTGCGATCGACGCTCCTTGAAGAAGTCAAGCCGCGACGTTAGCTCCACCAGAGTCGACGACGCAGCTGATGATTGATGCCGCGGGTACTCCATCATCTGCACACATCCCGAGTTTTTTTTTTTTTTTTTTTTCGATTCTAATCAGATTACGGAAACAACCCTTAAATTTCCAGATGTAATGAATTCAACGCTCACCTCGGCTGCCCGAGAAGTGGACGGTAGAGAAGCAGAAACAGAGTCGACAGAAGCGTCGAGATTTCCGGTGGATAGACTCGTCGACGCCTCGCTGCTTTTGGAGTCGGTCGGTTCAAATAGCTGCTTCCGAGACGGCTTCGCCATTTGGGTTTTGATGTTTCTCGGATCTATTCCCGACAGCTCCTGCAAAATGCAGTATCGAATTCAAAAAATATATCTCGAGATTTCGAAAATCTTAAAAAGACATCTTGGAAGGGAACGGATAATCACCTCGGTTCTTTGTTTCCTTTCATGGTTACAAACCGCGAGCGTCGTGTCGAAATCTTGCTGGAAATATTTCCTGCACACAATTATTCACGCAAAACTTCGGTTAAACTTAAAATACGAGTGCAGCGACAAAACTGTCGAGCGATTTTAACTCACTGCTGGGGATTATGCATGGCGGGTTGCTGATATCTGTCGCTCGATTCAGGAAGAGAGCCGTAGTGATGCTGCCGTTGCTGATTTAGCTGCTGGTGCAGTTCGGTGACTTTCTGCTTCAATCTGGCCACGTCCGCCTCGGCCAGCGCTATTTCCTCGAGCTCGGCCCTTGTCTTCACGGATAATAAAAAGAATTCAGCGCATCGGATTGGCGGAAAGTGTGAAGACAGAAAGAATCGACGCACCTTGGAATCCATGCCCCGCGAGGGAGGATACTGCCCCGAAGACATGCTCAGACCGGCTTCCAGCGCTGCGCGCAAATCCCTCTCAGCTTGCAATTGTTCTTGCAGTCTTGCAACCTAGTAAAGCAATGGAATACGAGATCGGTAAGAAAAAAAGAAGTGGCTTTGATTAATTAAACCTAGTTTGTGGTTGGAGACGTGCGATGTGGTCAGTGAAATGCTTACATCTTGTTCGAGAGCCAATCGACGCTCGTGCAGAGCTTGCTTTCTTCTCTCCAAGCTAGCTTGCAAAATTGCATTGCCTCTCGCCTATCGAACATGAAAAATCGGAATGTTATTACCAAACATTGTCAATTAATGTAATATAGGAACGGGAATGCTCGTCAAAAGTCAATAATCGACCTCTTTTGCAATCCTGTGGCGCAAATCATTCTTCGCAATCTCCAGTCTTTGGATGGCAAGCCTATTAAAAGAATGTCAGTTTCAGAAGGACAAGAAAAAGTCGAAAGATACCCACACAGCAACAGTTATGACGGGTCGAATGTCGACCTAATTTCACAACAAATAATCCTAACTTTACAATGTTCGTAAAAAGAGCACAAATTTATATAAACGGCGAACAACCAGAAGAAAATAATCTTACTCTTCCTCCCCAGAAGAATCTACAGATTCTGTTGAAGGAGATTTCCTCACCTAGAAAAAACAGAAGAATCAGCAAATGTCGCTACACGAATAAGTACAAATACAGAATCCGAAAGTTAACAAGCGGCGCTTAATTAACATTGAGTTTCCAAATTGTAAAGAAAACTCACATTCTTCCGCCCCCAGAAGGTTGATTTCTTAGTGCTGAAATTAGAAGTCGGAAGTTTGAGCAATGACTTTTCAGCCATTAGTTCAGGCCCAGGAATGGATTGCCGTAGCTCTTGATCCACAGATGACGAAATATTTCCAACAGACTGCTGTGATTCATTGCTATGTTCGGCAGAAGCATCGATCGTGCTTTCAGACACCACCTTCTGTTTGTCTGGTTGCCCATTAGCTAAAAGATTAGAATCGGCAAGGTGTGTAGTGTCCAAACTTTTGTTCGATTTTGTTGCTGAAGTCTGATCCTTCGTGGGCAATCCATGGTCCGAATCATCATTTTCGATTGCCTGGTAGGAAAAACCTCAAAGGTAAAATATCCAATCAAGAGAATGCATAAAGTGTCGGAGAATGAGAGAGAAACCTCGTAGAGATCACAGGCAGCAGAGCCGCTGCTTTCACTTAACTTCCCGCTGAGTCTGCGGTCACGGTTACGGTCATAATCTGCCTCAGGGTCGACCTCGTTTTCAGCATCGTGATAGCCATTGATTTTAACGTCGGGATGCTCGTCATCACTTGTATCTTCACTTCCACTGCTATCAGTCTGAGAATCGGCAGACATGGAGCATCTCTGAAGATTATCATCCTGAGAGTGGACGACTTCGATTACGAATTCAGCGTAAAATAAAACTTTAGAGATCAGGGAAACGTAGAAACTATCAAACAGCATACATCAAATATATTCTCATACTCCTCCAGGAGCGTTGTAATAATCGCTTGGGCATTGTTGGCTGCATTGGCGGCAGCCAGAAGCTGAGCAGAACTATCTCCATCAACATCGTAATCATCCTCCGAACATTCACCGGCTAAAAGAGGGCGCAGAAGTAGTGGAGCCATACAAGCCGCAACCGCTGATGGAGTCATCCGATTCTCAGAAGAATGCGAGGAAATCGTATGCATCATCTTAAGTATTCTATTGAAAGTGAAGGAAAGTCAAACAAGGAATAGAAGACAAAAACATATATTAAACTAAATTCCATTCGATAGTAAGTGTTGCATTGTACCTTTGTAGGAGGCGTCGATTGGGTTCAGGAAATGTCTCTCGTATTGCAGAGTGTAGTGCATTTAATCGAGCCTCCCTCCGGTCCATTTCTTCTCAACAAAGCGACAAAGAGACCAAGTTACTCATATGAAACACGGAACATTACGGGTATCTGAGTAAACATGATAGAGAAAACATACTGTAGGCTTCAAGCAAAGCAGTACAGCACGATGCAGGAACAGGGGATGAAGGTAATTCCCGAAGAACGTGCTGAAGGAGGCAAAAATTATAGTTATTATCAAATACATAAAGCCCAAATTCTATGGTTAAGTACTAGGAGCAACTGTCAAACCTTAACACAGTCGCCAATGACATGGGCATCCTCCTCGGGACCGAATTCAGTCTTGCCTACAAGCAAGTGCATCTTTCAAATCGGGTAAAAGACAAGAAGAGCTAACTAGATCTTATTGCTCTCTTCGTCTTGGGAACACTAAAACTTGTAATAATAACACTATAGTTTCGCATCAGGATAAACTGTAAAATTGTCAAACTATGCATCTTTCTAGCTGAGCTACATCGATTTGTGAAGATAATATATAAAACAAGCTACATATGGTTACGTTTATTTTGTGTTATGAAAAATGACGGCTTGAATAACCAAGGGAATACACTTGGCATAATCTACTCAATATAATATACTCAATAACAGAAAATGAATGCATCAAAAACCTTTTTCATATTCTTGGACTCGTCGCTCCACTTCCTCAACATCTGCAGATTGCCGCAAAATTCCTTCTACCTTAATACCTGCCAAATTATATTGATCATCATTAGAATAATAGAATGTACACTTCATATAGTTCTAAAACACGGATGAGTAATGATTAATACCAAAGCACAACTACTCTTATAAAGGCAAGCAATAATTGCATACGACATGCATAATTGCAAGTCTGTTTTCTGGTATTTATGCAATCCCAGATCAAGTGATAAAAGCCAATCTTTTTAGGTAAGTCAAAATTCTAAAATCAACTATTAATCCTTCGGTTGATTCAACCCACCGACCAAATGGGCACTATTCTTCAAACACCAAAGTCAAGATTGGATAAAATCTTACCATATTTCTCAAGAAACCGAAGTGCTTTTTCCAAGAAGGATGGCCCTCCATCTATATCCTCTAAAGCAAGTAGAATTGGGCGTCCAACAACCAAAGATTTTACCGGGCGCCTATCTCTCCCTGGATTGATTGAAAATGATTACGAGGAATCCCTATTCAAAACTCTACAATAATTTTTCATTAAAGAAGAGGAAGATATAAATTGTAGGTATCAACATTGATGAAAGGAGCCTTCGATTGTATCGTTAGTTTCACTTCTGAATATCCCATTATGTCCCATCACAAGCGCAGCACTTGGTGCTTGTGTAAGAGCATTTTCGAGGGCTGTCTTCCAGTCATATAAGTCCTCCAAATTCTCTGCCTGAAATTTCAAAACCGAATTGCAAAATAACATGTGCTACAGTCTTCAGCAATAATCTAAAGAAAGATTGTGCAGACAAAGTGGATGGATTATGGAACACGGCGAGAACTTCAATGTACCTTAAGAGTAAATGCTCGTCCATCGCGTCCGTCAGGAAACAAAACAGTGAGCAGTTTCTTATCTTCTCTAACTACAACACTGCCAGTGGGACGAAAAACTATCAACATAGGAGGAAAGACATGAATTGTAACAGAGGAAAGATACACCATCTAATATACCTCCCCGAATTGTTCAAGTCTATGCCACCTAAAGTCAGATTTACTTCGCCACCACGTTGCGGAAGTGCACTCTACAAGACAAGGAAGTTCTTGATATTCATGGCCATAGTGATGAAAAATTAAAGTTGGAACAAATTATCATTACATGAAAGTGCTACATAACAGCAATACTGCTTGGAAACATAACGAATTCAGAAAAATACTGAGCGCGTGCCTCTAAAACGAACAATTAAAATTCTATATACGTGAATAAAACTAACAGGATCATTCTTGAAGAACACCAATGAGGTGCGTGTAAGGATAAACCATCGCTTCTTCCAAGATGTCCACCCCAACCCTGCAAGAAGTTAAAAGTACTAAATGAAATAAAATAAAATTAAGAACAAAAACTACTAAATGAAAAATCAACACAATCTAATGACATTGCAACGGTATTTCGAAACCCAATACTGATTCTGACTCCCTGAGCCAACATTCTAATGTTGACAGTTGGCAAAAACACCAGTGTCGCAAGAGCGGGAACAACAAATTAGTAACAAAACTATACTTTCCAATTGAATCAGACTTCAGTATGGAAAGAACCAAAAATAACATTGAATTCTGTTCGAGTTTATCAGTATACTAATGCAAGTCATTTACAAACTAATTCTTGTATCTCATTTGTCCATTTACGCCGAAAGTTGTACTCAAATTTAAAGCTTCCCTTAGATGAATCCTAGATTAAAAACAACCAAACAACCTCATTCTTTGAGTAAATAATGATAGTTTCTATAGTATGAGTGCAACGAAGCACAGATTTTGATGCAATGCAATTCAGAACCATCTCAAAATCATCAGCTGATGCTTTTATTCAAATGCAATAAACCGACATCATAGACACACTCCAAACTACGAGGTATTGCAGGTTTCTTCAAGAACACAAACCTTTGGAAGATATAAGCAGATGCCCACTCTTGAATATCTGCAAATCGTCGAAACAACAAACGATTATCAAACTAAGACAATCAATCCACAGAAGAGGAACAATCTAATTCCAAAAACTCCACGAATTACAAAATTGATTCCGTGATTTCAGAGCCCATCCCCAAAAACGGCCACTGAGCTCTAAAACAACTACCAGACGAAGCTCGACCTCACGAAATCTGCAAACAAAAAAGAAGAACAACAAATACGGAGCCCAAGCACATTACCGAATTCGAGTTCACAGCACGAGGGCGCTCAATTGCGGCGAGAGATGCCGACATTTCGCTCTTCTCCCCGATTTCAGAGCGGAGTCAACATCCTTCAACTGCGATTCACTCTCTGGTCGACCGAGATCGAACTCTGGCCACAGAATCCGATAAGATCTGCACAATGGAGATGAATAATCGGAGGTGCAAGGGCTTCTTCACTTTCCCCTTTTCCACTTTCTCATTTCGACAATTCACAGTAATAATTTAAAAAGGAGATGGATGGATGGATGGATGGATGGAGGAGCTATCGAGCAGCAACCAACTAGAGCAACTTTCCCCGCAAGCCTGACCCCCTTTTTCCCTTGCTTGTATGTCGCCCAGTGTTCGTGCGAGTGGGCAGAAATGGCGGATTAGGTGGGAAGCTATTGTAATAGTAGTTGTGCGAAAGTAATTATAATACTAAATAATTCCACACCCGGCCATTAACATTAGTCTAATGTCTGCTTTATCACCCCATTTTGGCCGCGACTGACTCCCAAGATTCAATTTTTATTTTCCAATTTGTTTTTTTGTCTCTCTCTCTCTCTCTCTGCCCTAAATCGCAACCACTGTTCGTCTTGCCATCTACGAGAAGGCAAAGGCAAGCAGGAAGCAGTAGGGCCGCGTTTGGTTGCCCCAATTTAAAAAAATCCGAAATCACTGCCCTCAACAATTCAATTCAACACACTTTCTAATGTTTGTAGAATTTGCTAAATATCTAATCCCCACAGATATCGAAATCAATGCAATATTAATCAGAACATCGTCCGTGGTTGCCATTTTCTCTCCTGCTAGATTTGATGTCCCCAAACACGTCACTAACACTTGATTGCTATCCTTTTCTATTTATTGCTGCATTCATTTTTATCGAGGGGGAAAAAAAAGGCCGTACGGACCACCTCAACTGGAACTACTACTGTAATAGCATTTTTATAATTTGGTTACTGTTTTTTTAATTGAATTTATTATTGTTGCTACCCAATTTCATTTTTAGGTCGTTGGAATTTAATTTAATTCATACTTATGGTCTAGTCTAAGTCTAGACATAACAAAAAAGAAGAATTAATAAATAAAATTAGGAAGTCGATATAAAGGCACAGACCAGCGTCAAAAGGAATGTACAATCCTCTAAAGCGAGGCTCCGGGGTGCATTGAAGGGTTGTACCTGAATTACTATTTTTCAATAATAATAATAATTAATAATTAGTATTAAATCTATTCATGTGAGAGGCATTTTATTAGTGGTCCAAGTATGCACATGGTACATATTCAACCAGCTCACACCTTACCATCTTATTATTTGTTTTTTTATATTAACAAGAATTTGGGTATTTCTTTTTATTTATTTTTTTTTTTTTTGTGTATTTGATATGTTAAAATAAAGTAATAATTTAATATGATATATTTTTTAAAAAATGTGTTTACTTTGCAATGTTTTTAATTATTTTTTACATTCTTCAATTCTCATCATTCCTTATAAAATACACTGAATTTGTTTGTCTTATGTTTGTAAAAAAAAAAAAAAAACTATCACAATTAAATTACTATTGAAATTGGAATAATATAAAATATATATTCAAATTTATATGGTCATATTTGAATGAATGGATTAAAAAGGAAAAAAAAAAAAAGAAAAAAAAAGATGGATTTTACAAGTAACAAATTTAATATAGAAGGATTATATATAATAATATTTGAATTTTATAAACTAATTGAAATGAATTTTGATTAAAGTGCATATAACATGCTACAATAAATAGATATCAAAATCTACAATTAAACGTGTTTGATTTATTTTTCGCAAATATATTTATGAAATAATAATTAAATACTACCTACGTCTATAGCCAATTTATCCATTTTTATTTGGCGTCATTGTTTCTAACATTAAAAATATCTTTATATTTAGAATATATAATAATCCCTCCATCTCATGTAATATGTGATTAGAATAACTATATAGTTTAATTAAAATTTTAAAAAGGTATAAAAATTAAAATTTTAAATGTGATTAAAGTGTATAATCATATTTTTTTTAAAAAAAAATAACAAATTATATGGGACAAAGGGAGTATATATTTTAAATAGAGTTTATGAATATTGAATAATAAAATTTTAAAATTTATTATAATAAATAGTAATATTTTCTAATAAAAATTAAATTTCATTTAAATATATATATATTATTTTATGTGTTTTTTATTTTGTAATTAAAAATGCAATTTTTATTTAAGTTATTTCAAATAAAGGTAAAAATATAAAAAAAAATTATAAAATTTAAGGATGTATTTGAAATATATTATATTTGTTGCTTTTAATAAATATATATTACTATTTTTTATAAATATTATATCAAAATATTATTTAAATAAAATTCTATATTTATTTTAATATATTAAAAAATACTAATATATTTTATTAAAAATTGTGCATCTAAATTGTGTTGAAATAATAATAATAATAAACAAGCACATCCAAACAAACCCTAAAAAAATGACTACATATTGCCAATGGAAAATGAATAGATGAAGAAAAATTAATAAATCGACTAAGAGAGGTGTGTGTTTGTTTTGTAAGATAATTTAAAAGAAAATTTTTTTATGTGAAGTACAAGGAATTGTATTAGGAATATAAAAATAATGAATATATGTGATATATTAATATTTTTAAAAAATATATTATTTCTTGTTAAAAAAACACACTCCGGATTTCAGTGAAGTGAGACTCCGTGAGGAAAAAAATAAAAATAAAATTGTTATATCTAGATTTTTGAATAATAATTGAAAAGTGATTTTTATGAAATCACAATAATATATTTTTAAAAAATTTATAAAATTAAATTGTGAAAAAATAAATAATAATAACAAATAAACACATACTTTTATCTCTCTATCTCTATTTTTATTATACCAAACAGGCTCTAAACAAATATATCTAGATGAGGGGTATCAAATTTGAATTAAAAAAATCCATCCAATTCAATATTATATATATATATATATATTGTACTATTAATATAGGATAAATAAATAAAAATATTAATTATTTCTATTAATTATTTATAGACTAATCAATATTTTATATATTTTATCTAATATATAATGAAATATATATATATAAATGTGTGAAGATGTGGGTGTATATATAATATATGTATAAGTTATTATATATATATGAGTGTATATATGTGAGTGTGTATGTATGAACGTGTGGGTGTGTGTGATGATGATGATGATATAGATATAGTACATATATATTAGATAGAGAGAAAAATGGAGAGTCGAGAAGTAGGATGAGGTGGATGGAGTTCTCTATTAAATTATCTTGGTACATAATGCTATATATATATATATACACAGGCAATTCAAGTCCAAACATTAGGCTACAAAGTATCCACATACATGTACACTATATAATATATTTGTAATAGTTATGTGTACAATGCTCCTTTTAAATATTTTATACAAAGAATGTGCTTTGTTAAAACTTTATTAGGAAAAATCTTGTGGGCAAAAATTCTATTGAAGAAAAAAAAGTACACTATTCTTGTATTGATTTTCCTATGATCTGAGCATTATTTGAGATTTCTGAACTGACGCATTCTAATTTTCTTTACCCATTTTTCAAATGTTGCAGTCGATAATGTCTTAGTTAATACATCCGGTAAATTATTATCTTATCGAATTTGCTGCACATTAATTTCACCATTTTCTTTTAGATCATGAGTAAAAAATTTTTTTTAGTGAAATATGTTTCGTTCTATCTCCTTTAATGTAACTCGCTTTCAATTGGGCTATACAAGCCGTATTATCTTTATACAATGTAGTTGGAGGAATTTTATCGTCAGATATTAACCCACAAATTCTCTCAGAATATGTTGAGTAATTGACCTCAACCAAACACATTTTCGACTAACTTCATGTATTGCCAATATTTCGGCATGATTTGAAGAAGTGGCAGTTAAAGTTTGTTTCATCGATCTTCAGGAAATTATTGTTTCGTCATAAGTGAATATATAGCCAATTTGAGACTTGGCATTATGAGAATCAGATAAATATCCTGCATTGGCAAAACCAATCAATTCATGTCGATAATGTTTTGAGTAATTCGAGTTCAATTGTTCCTTGAAGATAACGAAAAATGTGTTTAATCTCATTCTAATGTCGTCGAGTAGGCGATGAGCTAAATCTTTCCAATAAATTTACAGCAAATGATATATTAGGTCGGGTGTTGTTGGCAAGGTACATCAATGCGTCTATAGCACTCATATATGACACTTCTGGGTCAAGTGTTTCTTCATTTTTCTCTTTTGGTCTAAATGGATCATTTATTGGATTGAGTGTTCTGACGTTCGTTGGAGTACTTAGCAGATGTGACTTATCCATCAGAAATTGTTTCAGTACGCTTTTGGTATAATTTGATTGGTAGATAAATATTCCACTTTCAAAGTGCTCAATTTGCATACCAAAGCAAATTTTAGTTTTTCCAAAATCTTTGATCTCAAACTTCTTTTTCATATATTCAACAGCTTTCTGGATTTCATCAGGGGTTCCAATTAAATTGAGATTATCGACATATACAACAATGATTACAAATTCAAACTCGTTTTTCTTTATAAAAATATATGGAAAAATGGGGTCATTTATGTAACCTTCTTTTGTTAAGCTTTCGCTGAGACGATTGTACCATATTCGGTCCGATTGCTTGAGCCCATACAAAGATTTTTGCAATTTGATGGAATATGAATTATTTTATTTTTTTGCTTTGATTTGAATGATTCAAGTATGTTAATCTCTTCTGAGATTTTCATATAGACATCATTGTCTAAAGAGCCGTAAAGATAGACATTAACTACATCCATCAATCGCATATAAAGATTTTCGCGAACTGCTAGGCTCACCAGATACCTTAATGTTATTCCATCAATGACCAGCAAATATGTTTTTTCAAAACCGATGCCCTGAGAAAAATCTTGGGCTACAAGTCTTGCTTTATATCTTGTATATCATTATTTTTATTTCTTTTCCTCACAAACACTCACCTGTAGTCAACAGGTTTTACATTTACAGATGTTTGGACTATTGGGCCGAATACTTGCCGTTTATTCAATGAATCCAATTTAGATTGAATTGCGTCTTTCCATTTTGCTCAATAATCTCTTTGCCGATATTCATCAACTGATTTTGGTTCATAATTCTTATCATCTTTCATTATGTCGAGTGCTACAGAATATGCAAATGCATTATCAACATTTTTTTTTCTTTCTGTTATAATATTTTCCACTGATGGTATAGTTAACAGAAGTTTCAATAACTTCATCATCACTTTCATTAGAATTTTTAGTATTAGCCTCTTCAGGGGATGTACTAACCTTTTCAGGTATATGACCTTATTGATCTCGTCACCAGTATTTACAATTTTCTTCTTTCGTGGATTCTTATCCTTGGGACCCAACGGCCTGCCACGTTTTACGCGAGCAGTATGTTCATTAGCACTCGACACCTTCCTTTTTGGGATATTTATTTTAGCTGGTGCATTTGCTGATGCAATATATGATTTCATAACTTTTGCAGCATCATTAAAAGT